GTTGGGGGGTGGGGGTGGGGGCGAGGGCAGGCCCTAGATCCAAGTTCTCTTTCTCTCTCTAGGTATAGATTTATAGAAATAGATAGATAGATGGATAGATATATATACACACAAATAATGACAGCTGACACCTATATAGCACTCTTCTAATGCTTTCTATATATTATTATAGTTAGTCCTCACACCAATCTATGGTATAGGCACTGAGAGGTTCAATAACTGCCCAGATCCTATAGCTAAGAAATGGTAGAGCTGGGATTTGAACTCAGGCAGTCCGGCTCTCGTGTCTAAGCTTCTAACTACAAACTATACTGCTTTCTTACATGGCTGATTTCTATCAGCCCCGTGTTTTATACCATACTTAATCCTCACAACACCTCCAGGTCACATGACTCGCCCAGGGTCACTCAGCCAAGGAAGCAGACTTGAACCCAGCCTTGTGATCCTGAAGTCTGGGCTATAACCACAGGCCTGCTGCTTTCCAGATAAGGCACATCCTCAGAATAGCAGAGAGAGGCCCCCTTTTCCTATGCCCATAGTTCTGATTTTTCCTGGGTGAGGGCACCCTGCCCCAACTCCTCCTGGTTATGGATGCCCAAGTGGATGGGCAGTAGGACCCCTGCCTGCTCCCCTGCCAGTCAGGGGCTGGGGGATCGCAGGGGTGGCCTGGGGTAGGCTGGGCAAACCTGGCCCCTCTGCCCCTTTCAGTTCCCATCACCAGAATGGGACACCGTCACCCCAGAAGCCAAGGATCTCATCAATAAGATGTTGACCATCAACCCGTCCAAACGCATCACGGCTGCCGAGGCCCTCAAGCACCCCTGGATCTCGGTGAGCCTTCCTCAGCAAGACCTTTCCCAGGACCCCGCCAGACCTCAGGGTTAACGCCCTCATGGAGTCCTGTCCCTGTCCCTGGGGTGAGGGGCTTTATCCAAGAGACACTGACCCTGCTGTGGTTCTCAGGGGAAAGTGCATCAGGATGGGGGTGCTATTGGCATTGAATGTCTAGTGCACCAAATTCTACAACAGAATGTTTACAACATCCCCTAGAACAAATAATTATTCCCCCAAGATGCCAACCACCCCCATAAGACACCCTTCTGAGGGGCCCTTGGGTAGGCCTGCCTTCTACTCACAGACCTCTTCCCTACTCCCCCCAGCACCGGTCCACCGTGGCCTCCTGCATGCACAGACAGGAGACCGTGGACTGCCTGAAGAAGTTCAACGCCAGGAGAAAACTGAAGGTAACAGGTCCTCACCCTCCATGCCCCCCAGACATGGGAGTAGCGTGGCCTGGGAGTAACAGTGTCCAGGAAACCACTCACTGTTCTTTCCTTCACTGAGTCAACAAACATTTATTGAACACCTGCTGTCTGGGCAGGGTGGTGAGCAGTGGAGACAGACACATAACCAGGACATGATGGGGCCGTGGTGAGTGCTATGCTTGCACGCCCTGAGGCTGTGGGTGAACACAGCATGGCCATGAGCCAGTTCTAGAAGGACCAGGGAAGGACCCAGGAAGCCTGCCTGGGCAAGCAGCATATAAGCTGAGGCCCCAAAAGAGAAGCAGGCATTAAGCCACGATGGGGGTGAGGCCCCAGCTGCCAACCACTGGTGAGGAATGGCCCAGAGACTTGGGTAGGGGTTGTGACCCCAAGGAAATTACATGGAGACCCAGGTGGGCCCTGAGCTGCAGCCTCTCAGCAGGTCCTGTGTGTTCTCGGGGCCATGACAACCGGCCTAGACCTTGCCAGGGACCCCATGAGCAGGTAGGAAGAGTGACCAAGGAGTCTCCATCTGGTCGGAGGAGAGAAGCCATCAGCATGCTGAGTGACAGATACTGAGGCCTGGCTCATTGGGAACCTTCTCACCAACTGCTCCCAAGCTTGGCACGGTGGCTCAGGATGGGAACCTGGGCCAAGGGTGGCGGCCAGCATGATGCCAGGAAAACTGAGTATCACCCCTAGCCCCTAGTGGGAGCTGTCACAGAAGAAGCCTCAAAGTGTCAGAATCAGGGATTCTTAAAACCAGGGGCTGTCGGACTGAGAGAGTGTCCAAGTCAGAGAGCATCAGACTAGAAGGGCCACTGCTCCCCAGCCCCCTTGCTGACAGAAAGGGCTTTTCTGCATTAACCTTCAGGGGTTCAAGCCCAGGAATGTACTAGTACTAGAGTGGGTGCTGAGTGCCCCGGGCGGAGGGTGGACACAGGAGGGGCCCTGGGGCACAGGGTCTACTGTCCTTGCCCAGGCAGGACACCTCCGTGGCCTTTAGCAGCCCCCTGACAGGTGTCTCAGGGCCCATCCACCACCTCTGGCCAGGCCGGTGGGACCTATTAATATCTGCTTCTAGAATGGCCCTGTCCCTGGAGCGGTGCCAGCTAAGGTTGAGTTCACCCTGGTTTCTCCAGGGAGGTGGGGGTTGGTACCTGGGCTGTGGAATGGGGGACTAATGAGGGGCAGCGGCTTTGGCTTTGTGTATGAGTGGAGCACCTGCCTCTCCTTCCCCACTCATCACCCATTTCTCTGTCTCTCTTCTCCCCACTCACCTCTGGCTTCTCTCCCCACCACACCCTCTCCTCTCACCTGTGCAGGGAGCCATCCTCACCACAATGCTGGCCACCAGGAACTTCTCTGGTAGGTGGTAGGACCTCAAAGCCCCAAACACATCCTGCAGAAGGTGGGAACATTGCCATGTTGGATACCTGGGTACCCACAGGCCAGGGGGCCTGGGAGAGCGGGGGCTGCAGAGGACCCCGTGACTGGGGGCTTTGCTCACATGATGCAAACCTGCGCCTAGAAGTGGAGAAGGGTCAGAGGTTGGCAAGCTATGGGCCCACAAGGAAGGGAAGGGTCAGAGGTTCAGTCTGTGTCCCCTGCCTCACAGGAGTGCTGGGTTCTCAGGCTGGGTCAGCCAGAGGGAAGGCCTCTCAGATGTGGGTCCAGGTCGGGCTGGGACTGAGCAGTATTCCTGTTCCCTGTGGTTACAGAGCCCTGTGCTGAGCAGTCTCCATGGCCTTTACGACAAGGCAGTGGGGGCCATCGCCATCCCTGCTTTCTGAAGGAGGAAACTGAAGCTCAGGGGGCTGGACGTGGGAGGCCCAGGTGGCATCGCTAGGGGGAGGCAGAGCCTGTGATCAGCACAGGTTTGACCAACCTCAGTGCAAGTGCCCGTAGTCAGGGCAGGAGCCTTCGGCCTTGGCCAGAGCCAGGCTGATTAGGGCAAGGGAGTGCCCGCTGACCTGTGGCATGTGGCCCCTGAAGAGAGAAGGGGAAGGGATTAGTGTCAGGGTTTAACAAGAAGCTCCCCCTGGCACACTGGAGAGTTCTAGGACCAGCGCTGCCAGAGGCTTCTCTCTGGGAGCCCGGAGGCTGAGTGGGCAGCTGAGCAGATATGGCAAAGCTCACCCGAGGGGCCCTCTGTCTGGGGCTGGAGCCAGCCTGAGAAGGTTGCTGTGGTCACGTGGCTGGCTTTGCAGCAAGGGGTCGACTCTGGGCAGCTACAGCCCAGGCCTCGTGAGAAGGTCCCCCTGCCCATTTCATGAGCTGGGAGAATGAGACCCAGCGTGGGAAAACCTGGGACTTTGATCTGAGCTTTTGCCACTGCCTGAACTGCCTTCCCATTCTCTCCCCAGACAAGGATCCTGCAGCTCCTCAAACTGAAACATGAGCCACCCAGACAGAGTCTTTTTTTAACAACTGAAGTGCCCCTAGAGAACTCTAATCCAGAACTTAAAAGATGGTGCCCATGGGGTTACTTCCAATCTCTAGATGTGCTTGGGAGTGGGGAGGGGGGAGGGCAGGGGTGTTTAAAAATTTTTTGCAAAGCGTTCCCAGCACTTAAACATCAGGAGATTTCCCAGAAAAGCCCAGATCTCTGTCTTCTCTTGAAAATCAGAATATGTGGCCTCACAGACCCCCACAGTCTTGTCATAGTGGCTGGAGCTGAGAGGGCCCCGTGGAGGCTGGAGGGGCAAACACTCCCGGCCCCGCTGAGCAGCCTGGTTCAGCCCACAGGCCTGTGGGGCAGGGACAGCCATTCCTTTTGGCTTTGGATCCAGCGGTACTCACTTGCTTACAAGAGGGTAAACTTTGGACGAGAGCCAGGTAGGGGTCATTGGAAATGTGAGGGTGATTGGGAAGCTGGACAGACCAGGAGCCCCATCCTTCAAAGCCTCTGGAGCTGCAACGTCTTGTACGCCCCTTGTGGCCGGCTCACTCTGCAGGCCACCAGGAGACGCACAAGTGGCACCATTTATTGAGCATCTACTGCACAGAGGTCAAGCGCGGTGCTATGTAAGCACTTTATAGACACCCCATCTCCTTCAACGTAAAGCATTCGCTTGAGGTCTGAGTGGCCGGTTGTCAGGTTGGGCAAGGCTGGGCACTCATGCCACTTCCTGGCTGATGCCCTCCCTCTCCATGGGCTCTGGCCAGGAGGTGAGGGGGAGGGAAGGGGAAGTGACAGAGGTGGAGCCGCCCTGAGATCTGTGGCTCTGCTCTTCCTGGCTACCGGGGGCAGAGCCAGCCCCAGCCTGGAGCCCTGGAGTTTGAGGGTGGGAGGCCTCCGCCAGGATGGGTGCTCTGGCAGCGGTGGGCCCCACAAGGGGGCATCTGCTTCTTGTCACTGGCAAAACACGGCTCGCAGCTGTCCAGCGTGAGTAGGCAGGGCTGACACATGACCTCTGCAGCAGCATGGGGCTAAAATTAGAGCAGGCTGGGTTGGGGAGGGAGCATCCTGCCCCTGCCGGGCAGCCGGGCCTCCGGGTTGGCCACACCGGCACGGGTGGTGACCGGGATCCAGAGGGAATCCCCGGGCTCAAACAGTAACTCACAGTCCTGGGACGCACTGGATACCTTCCTCAACCTCAACCCATGGGGCTGGGGGGTCACACTTGCGACCGCTGAGAACTGTGGGAGCCCAGGCCCACCTAGGGGGCCACTGGCAGTCCCAGGCTCCAAGGAGGGAGGAGAAGCAGGAGGAGGTCTCCCAGATCGCTGAGCCGGCTCCCTGCCCTCCGGCTGCCCGTGGATGCTGCTCTTCCTGGCCCTCTGGGCCCTGGTGCCCTGCCTGGTGTTGGTAACCCTCTACTTTCTCTCCTCCATAGGAGGGAAGAGTGGAGGAAACAAGAAGAATGATGGTGTGAAGGTAAGCCCCCCGGGAGCCACCAGGGCCTGCTCTGGCAGCGTTTCCTTCAGGAAGGCCCGGCTTTCAGGCCTGGCGAAGACCCAGGCCCTGCTGGTGGTGTTCTGGGCAGATGTGGTCTCTCCTGCAGCGGGGCCATCCCCAGGCCCAGAGACCTGGGCTTCGGTGCCCACCTCTCACCAGGATCAGGGGAGGAAGCGGGGGCGGGGGGTAGGGTTGAAAGCCGGTGGGAGACGCAGATGGCCTGGGGTTGGAGTGGGCACAAGGAAAGGGGCAGCTCAGAAGGAGGTTTCTGGGGTTCTCTGCGGCTGGAGGACTGGTGAGCAGGGGGTACCAGGAAGGGATAGAGATGACCATGAGGAGTAACTTCCCTTTTCCCAAGTGTGGGCTGGCAGGAACGGATCCTTGACCCAGTACACCGCAGTCCAAGAGGATGGACAGCAATTTCTCTCCACTTTGGGGTCCAGAGTGCCCTCTCCCCCTGAAGACCTGTGGTTCAGTGCTAAGCATCCCCGCCTCCCCCGACCCAGGCCTGCCCTCTGTCCTCCCTCCCAGTCCTGAAGCCCGAGCTACTTCCACACCCCCCTGACCCCGCTCCCCTCCTCTCTCTTCTCCCTCTGCTCTCTGGGGCCTGGTCCCACTCTCTGCAGCCCCCTTCTCCCTGCCACTGGCTCGCCTTGTGGGTTCTCCTTTCTTGAGACCCTGCCTTTCTCTGGGCTCAGAGCCCTGCCTGGCCAGGGCCCCAGGGCTGGGCTGTGCCCAGGACACTGGAAGGTGTGGGACGTTGTCCAAACACAGCCACCAGGCAGGCTGGTGGCTCTGTGGCTTCATTTGTAGTGGCATTTACAGTCTCAGGTCGCAGGCTTCGGTCTGTCACAGTTACATGGGAGGGATCTGGGCCGGCTCTCAGAGGCCAGGGTTCGGGCCTCCCCTCTGCTCTTAGCCCTCTGCAGGCTGGAGTTTTCCCATAGGTACAATGGGCAGGTGGAAGGGTGTGGACTCCATGATTTCCAGGATTTCAGCTTTAAAAACATACCAGCAAACAAACAAACAAACAAACAAAAACAAACCGACAAAACCCTTTCTAATCACTCTCCCTCTCGTCTTGGGTGCTTGAGGGATACCTAAGTATTTGGTTATCAGTTGAAGTGCGTGGTTTTCAAACTGAAGTCCTTGGAACCCAGAGGTTCTGGGGAAGCACCCCCAGCAGCAGATGGGGTGGGGTGGGATTAGAAGCGGCCAGCAGAGAAGGTTCTGGGCTCCCCATGCCCACTTCAGCCGGAGCGGCTCCATGTTACAGCCAGCACCGTGGTTAAGAGAGCCTGGGCGGGCTTAGCAGCCGCAGACCTTGGCTGGCTATCTGAGTCGCCTGAGCCTGTGTTTCCTCGTTCAAGCAGAGAGGGTCACAGGGGTGTCCACCTCGCAGGGCTGTTTGTGAGGATGAGCCAAGATCACGTGTGTCGAGGGCTTAGCACGGTGCAGGGCATGCGGCACATGTTCATGAGGTGCCGGCCAGCGTTATTATCTTTTCTGTTTTATCTATTGGACTTCCGGGTTCAGATTTGTCTGGAAAACAGAGTTTGCTCAAGAGAATATTTGGTAATCCACAGACCTAAAGCCGACACCATCTCTAAAGTTGTCACGCACACAACCCGAGTCCCATAGTGGAACTCCGAACTGAGTTTTGGCTCCCCTGCTGTTTAGCTCGCCATTTGAAAGGGAAATGGGGGGAGGTAAAAGGTGGGGTGGCCGGTTTGGAGCCACTGGAGCTCTCACTGGCCCTGGTTGGTAGACACTGGGGCACGGGGTTCCCTGGGGAAAATTGTATTTGGGAGATAGGGGGCAGAGGCCACAGGTGCTGGCGTGCGGTGGCCCAGGTCAGTGGAGGGGGAGGCGGCGGCAGAGGGGGGGTCTGCTTGGCTCGTGGTGTGGCCCTGGCAAAGGCTAGCTCAGAGCCACTGCTGTGAGGTCAAGGCCTCCCTCAGGCAGGGTCTTGGGACAAAGCTCTGGTCTGGCTCTTCCCAGGCAAAGCCAGGAGGCGGAGCCTGCCGGAGGGCAAGGCCACGGCATGGTGGGGCTCTCGCTAGCCACAGTGGGTGCAGCTGAGGAAAGTGCCCCTCCTCCTGGCAGCGAAGACAGGCCCTGAGTGACTTCCCAGGGCAGCCGGGGTGGATGAACAGAAGCTCAAAGGCTATTCCTGGCCCGACCGTCTCTCGTAGTGCAGCCTCCTTCCCCTCCTGGGGCGTGGCCAAGGGGGAAGTCCAGCTGGAAGACAAGTCTCCCGGGGCCTCGCCCAGGATTCGGGGCACCCTGCCCGCCGTGTGTCACTCCGGGGTCCAGTCATGTTTTCACCATGAGTGAAACGGGCTCTACTCAAGAAGCCAAGGGTTTGACTCTGGGCCCTGCCGTCCCTCCCTTGGGGACCTGGGTCATCGCTTCTGTCATCCGTGCAAAGGAAGATGGCAGTGGCTTGCGAGCCTGTTGCTCATCCTGTCCTTCTTCCACTGACACACGTTCAGCCCGAGTGAGGAAATCTTCCTACAACACTGTCCTAGAGACAAACCGCCGGTTCCACCCGGGGCTTTGCCGAAGAAGCAGGGATTGGTCCTGCCGCTGGAGGCCAGCCGGCCAGCTGGGGTTAGAGACATGGCACAATCCTGTACTGTAAGGGCTTTTAATGGCTTTTGAGGCGAATTTCGACCACACTTCTCATTTCTGTCATCCTTGCTAACCTTAGAACCATGCTTTCTTCCAGGTGGTTCTAAGAGATGTGGCTCTACTTTTGGTGAAAGACTTGTAAATTAGACGCTGACGTGCCAGTCAGTGTGGGATTATTGTTAGTCTCATCATTTGTGACTCAGGGAAACTGAGTCTTCCTATTATCAAGAAGTGACGCCCCCCTCCAACCACCCCGAGACCTCCACTGCTATGAGGAGGGGCCGCCTGCTCCCACCCCTTAATCCACTCACTGCCCCTGTTGGTGTCCCATCCGTGCCGTTGTGACTTCTCTCTCCCATGTCCCATCCTGTCACTGTACGTCCGAATCTGATGCAGTCTCTGCTCTGTGTTCCCTCCTCGTGTCCTGCCTGGAACCTCCTGGCCCCCCGGCCAGTCCTCAGGTTTCTGCTGTCAGCCAAGCGGAGAGGGCCTGTGCCCTCCCACAAACATTGTGCCTGGCTTGGCTCCATCCAGGAGTGAGGCTGACTCTAAGAGGAGAGGAGAGGAGAGGAGAGGAGAGAAGAGGAGAGGAGAGGAAGTGTTTGTAGGGAAGGGGAGGGGAGGAGAAGAGAAGGGAGGAGAAAGAAGAGGCAAACTGTCCTGTCCTTGCATGCCCTCAGACTCTTTGACTTAACTTCATATGGAAACAAAGCATTTCCCCAGATGAGCATCATCTCCACATGCAGATTTTTTTTCACAAGTTTCTATTTTTCCTCTTTCTGGCCCCCGGCCAGTCCTCAGGTTTCTGCTGTCAGCCAAGCGGAGAGGGCCTGTGCCCTCCCACAAACATTGTGCCTGGCTTGGCTCCATCCAGGAGTGAGGCTGACTCTAGGAGGAGAGGAGAGGAGAGGAGAGGAGAGAAGAGGAGAGGAGAGGAAGGGCTGTTTGTAGGCTGCTGGCTTTGGAAGTCATGCTGTCCAGCCCAGCTGGAGCAGGTGCAAGGGCTGTGCCCAGTGAGCCACCCCTGCCATGTCTGCAGAAGCCCTGGAGAGAGAGCACAGGATCTCAGCCCAGAATTAGACCCTCAGAATATTGTGCTTCTCCCTGGAGGACCCAGCCTAAGGGCATCTGTATTTCCTCCTCAGCTCCCCCTCCCACCCCCTGCAGTGCAGCAAGGAGATCAGCCTCCTGGCCTCAGAAGTGAATGGTTTGGGAAGATAAACCTTTGAAGAATGGCCAGGCTGTGGGTGGCTGAGGTCTGGACAGAGGAGAGAGCGACACTCAGGGGTTCTGGCCTCTGCCCTGCTAGCGGCCAACTGAGAGACCCCGGGCAGATCACTGCCCATCTTTGGGCCCCAGTTTCTCATCTGTGCAATCCAGTGTCAGTCTTGAGCTGAAACCCTCTGTATGAGTCTTTAGGACTCTTGGCTCAGAACTGAGAGAAGAAGATAATCTACCTTTGAACGTTCCCCTTCCTTCCCTTGGTTCCACAGCCAGTAATACAGGGAAAGCTACAAACTCCCCACAAGCTAGAGTAGGCTGAATGGCAGGGCCCAACGGCTCAAATTCTGGGCTCCGCTCTATCTCTGGCTGTGCCTCAGTTTCTCTCTCAGCATAAAGGAGTTGGCTAGGCCAGTCGCTGGGAAGCTGTGAACACAAGCGGAAGTTCAAAGGCCATTTGAGAGGACTGGTTCCCACACTGGGCCCCGCTCTGGAATCTCCTGGAGATACCGTTTTAAACGGAGATCCCTTGGCCCCACCCTAGGCCGAGTTCCCAGACTCCTCGAAGGGGCCTGGTTGTATGTGACTAGGACACTTGGGGGCCTTTCAGCAGAGATGCATGGGAGTCTAGGAGGAGAGATTGGGCCTCATCCCCAGACCCAAGCACCCCTTTGTCCTTCAAGAGCTGTGGATTCTGGAGGCCTTAGGCAACTGGCATCCGAGACCCAGGTTGACTTCCCCCAGCAGAGCGGGACGTAGAAGGAGCCCCGGTCCAGGGGAGGCCTGGCCTGGAGCTTGGTGATTAGACTGTGAGACCCAGGCAGCTGTGCGTGAGGCCCCAGAACTTTAGGCTGAGAGAGGACTGGTCCACCAGGTCAGCTGTTGCTGGTGGCCCTGACTCCTTGCCCCCATGCCCTGCCGGCACAGGCCCACTGAGGATGACCCCGAGGCCCATCCTCCTTCCGAACCTCCCCTGTCGTCCATCCCTCTGCTCTCTGCCGTTTTCACGCTGTGTCTTTTCCTGTCCCATCTCTTCTCCTTGTTTTTCCAGAAAAGAAAGTCCAGTTCCAGCGTTCAGTTAATGGTGAGTGTCTGCCGTCTCCCCAACGCCGGTAATTGCTGGGCCTCGACCCCTTGCTCCTGCCTCCCTCCTGCAGGCTGCACTGGGAACCCGGGGCGGGGAGAGGGTGCTCAGGGCGTGCTTGGTACGTGTGCCTCGTGTGACAAATATGTGTGTTGCGTGTGCGTGTTGTTGGCGTGTTTCTGTTGACACCTCCAACTCCATGGACCAGACCAGCAGCCTGACAGTAGACCTGAGAACTCTGTTGGGTATGAAGGTTGATTTGAACCCCATCCCACATCCAGCCCTTGGCTTCTCGCTTCTTCCCACCCTCTGCTCTGGAACTCATCTCAGGGCTTGATTTGTGCCAGTTGTGACGAAGGGTGGAGGGGCTTGGTTTGGCCAATATAGTGGGCGCCGTAGAGGCCCTTCTTGAGCAAGGCTGTACAGGGCCTGCCGGTGGCAGAGGAGCCACCAGCCCTGCCTCTGTCTAAACGTTCCAGTGGTGGCATGGTGGCCCATGTCCCTCTTCTTCTGATTCCATTGTGATCTCCCTCAGTTGTGTGGTTTTTCTCTCCCTGAAAAGCCCAGCCCTCTCACACTGGGCCTCCCTCTCTCTCTCTCTTCCTCTCCTGCCAATGTGTGTATTCCTTCCCCATTCTGTGGCCACCATGTGCCTCTCTGCCCCTCTACACCCCCTCTATGATCCCTTAAGCAGAAAGGGCCCAGGAACCCCTCCCAGCCCCTCCAAAAAGTCCAGGGTTCTCCTTGCATCCATCCCTCCATCCGTGCCCCAACCACCGGCCACCTGCTTAGCTGGGCCCTTCCCCCCATTAGGTTCAGAAGTCTGACAGGTTTTCAGGGGAGCATCCAGATGGCAGAGCCAATGAGGCTTACAGAAACCGGGCCGCAGCATCAGGCAGCCGGGGCAGCCTTCCACTGGCCGCGCCCCCTCCTGCTGGCCAGGCAGGCCTCAATGCCTCCCTGTTCTCTCTGGCAGGAATCTTCAGAGAGCACCAACACCACCATTGAAGATGAAGACACCAAAGGTAGGGGGGCCTTGCCTTTGGCGTCTGGGCCCCAAGGCCTCCTCAGGCCCCCTTCACTGACAGCCCCTGGTTTGAAAGGACCCCAGTGCCAACCTGGTGTCCTACTGCTCTGCAACGAACCCCCCTTTGGTTCCTTCCAGGCTGAGTACACTGTTCCCAGCGTGGGATGCTCAGCCCACGGGTGGTCCACAGCTGGACTTTTCTTATGTCGGGGTTATGCACTAACTTTCATATGTGTTAGAAGAAATCAATGTAACACGTTCATGTCATAAATGTATCACAGTGGTATGCATTTGCCTTTTGAAATAAGCATTTTTGAATTTTTTAAAGTGTGCTGATTTTTAAAACATGAATAATTGTAAGGAAAGGGAAAGCAAAAATGCAGAATGTTCACTTGTATGGGAAGCATGGGAAACCCTGCCTAGGAGCAACCTGGAACGCAGAAGCAACTAGCAGGGAGGGAGCAAACCGCATATAATTGTGATCGGATAGTAAGAGAGGAAGTAATAAGGACAGTAACAGAAAAATGGCTGTGCTGTGGGCTAACCTGGAAGTGCTTTATATTGACCTGAACTTCATCACAACCCTCTGGGAGGCGCTGTAATTAACCCCATTCGTTCCACAGCCCCAGAAACAGAGGAGTGTCTTCAGGTCCTATAGCTCCCAAGGGTGGAGTCAGGATTTGAATCCAGGCAGTGTGACTCCAGGGCCTGGCTCATAACCACCACGCTGGGGGCCTTGGTGTGTGGAAAGCGTGCGTCTTCTGGCCAGGCGACACCAAATTGCTGGATGAGTTGGTGACGTTCTGTGCTGTCAGCACCTGGCCCTCCTCATCCCCCCGGGACAGGGAGACCAGAGAGCTCAGGGTTCCCACACTTGGGCACATGTCAGAGACGCCTGGGAGCCCTTGAAATCTAGGAAAACACCGTTGACCTGGAGAGATCGCAGCTGGACCCAGTTTAGCCATTTTTCAGTAGTTTAGATGATTTTCCTCTAAAAGAATATAATGATGGGGAAAAGAGCATTTCATTATGCAATAAATATTTTTGCACAATTGAAATTCAGGTTTTAAGACAGCTTTGATACAATAAATGCCATGACTACCTCTTGACTCTGCCAGGATACCCTGGAAGATCAGCCCCACCCGTGTACGGCCCTCTCTGATAGGTTCCAGCTGTGGGGGCGCCGGTGGGGGGCAGGGGGCGCCGGTGGGGTCCATTTGCTGGTGGACCTTGGACACCTTACTCAACCTCTCAGAGCCTCCTTAGCAATAAAGAGTTGATGATAATAGCTCCAACCTCAGAGGATTGCTGTAAAGGTGAAATGAGAGGCTGCATGTAAAGTGCTTACACGGTGCTTGGCACATGGAAATTGTTTAGTGAATCTTAAATTCTTTGTGAAGCTAGAGCCTGTGGTTGACAGGAAGCCATGTGCCATTTTTGGAGGGGACGACTCACTAACGCCATAGCCTGGCACTAGAGCAAATCCGTTTTCCATGATGGCACTAGTGCCAACCTTTAAAAATACATGATCTTGAAGAAGAATTCCTTGTTAGGGTCAAATCAGCCTCCAGTATATTTCTCCACCCATGCCTGGCCCTGCCCCTGTGGATTCTGATTCTATGGTTTTGCGTTGGGCTGAGGCATGGTGTTTCTGTGACCGGCCCCATAGTTGAGGGCTCACTGTCCTGATGGTAAGATTGGGATTTTTGAGGAGACTTGCCGTGGCCTCATAATTCTGGTCAGAGGGCTCCCTAGGAAATCCAACAATGAACTCCCACCTCTGCATTTTCGCACGTGCTCTTCCCTCTGCCTTGCATGCCCCTCCCCTTGATTCTCACATAACTGACATTTTACTATTCAGATCCTAGGTTGTGTGTGTGTGTGTGTGTGTGTGTCTTGTGTGTGTGTGGTGTGTGTGTGTGTGTTTGATGTGTGTGTGGTGTGTGTGTGTGTGTGTGTGAGTGTGTGTGTGTTTGTGTGTGTGTGTGTGAATCTTCACCCAAGGATATTTTTTCACTGATTTTTAGAGAGAGTGGAAGGGAGCATCAATGTGAGAGAGAGATATTGATTGGTTGCCTCTCGTATATGCCCTGACAGAGGATCGAACCTGCAACTTAGGTATGTGCCCTGACCGGGAATCGAACCCGTGACCTTCCAGTGCACCCGACAGTGCTCCAACCAACTGAGCAACCCCAGCCAGGGCTAGGCCCTCTTACAGGAGGAAGTCTGAGCTCAAGGAGGAGGAAGGGCACATCGGGTTATTGATGGCAGAACTGGGACCCATTCCCTGCCTCATTTCCCCACGCACAGAAGGCCCTGTCTGATGGGAGAGACACTGTCTCAGCCAGGAGCTTCTCCCGCGTTTGGCAGGAAAGAGGAGACCTGTGCCTCCCACAGCTTCTCCAGGCCCCAGAGAAACTTTCCAGAGAACCATTTCCTGGTGTTGATCTGCTAAGTCTTCTTCCTAAGTGAGAATAGCAGCTGGTGGGGTGGATTCCGACCTAACATTAAAATTAATTAGAAATGTCATCCTCCAGGGAACATTTTCCCATGAGCAAAGGAAGGGACATTAATATTTCAGAGCACCTCGGGCCTCATGCACAGGACTCTCACCCTCCAAATTCCCCTGGGCTCTGCCAGGCTTTCTCCCCATTCCCCTACCTCCTCCTGGTCAGCTCCATGAAAAATTAATTTCCTCTACAGCCCAAAGAGCTGCCTCAGAGTCTCAGCAGAGACATTCTGGGGAATATCAGCCAGGAATGCTGATCCCATCTCAGCCTTGGCATGCTGTGTGACCTTGAGAGAGTGCCTTAACCTCTCTGGGGCCCCAGCTTTCCCATCTGTAGGGGAGCACTCCTGACTGTCTGGGTGAATACCTGGCAGGTGGAAGTGCACAGCTCGCTCCTGAGCAGCTGATGAATGAACCCCTCTCACAGCAATGGGATTGCTGAGGGCACGAGAGGGGCCCAGAACCAGAGTAAATTTATCCAGATTTAAGGAACACTAGACTCCCAGATTTTTTGTCCCAGAGAATGAATCTAAGGAGATTCCTGCCCACTAGACATTGACTGTTGGCATAATTGGTGTCCTGAGTGGCTGGAGGCAAAACCAAGTTAGGTACTATCTCAGGCTACGTTAATAGAGGTATAATGTCCAAAATGGAGAGGGGAGAGAGAATGCTACTCCAGACTTGATATTGTGTAAAATCCAAGCCACACCTGGGATTATATGCTTGCACTCAGTGAGGCGTTGATGAGTAGATGGCCCGCTTGAGTCAGATCCTGCAAACCACATCCTGGAGGCCTTCAGCCCCGAGGAAAGAAGACTGGCAGGGGAAAAGGCATAAATCCAGGCAGCAGACAACTCAGTGCAGGGCCCCAGACGGCAGAAAAGAACCAGAACTATAGCTAGGGGCTTTCAGGGCGACAGATTTCAATTTGAAAGAAGAGGGAGGCTGGCACCAATGGCGAGAGCTGTCCCACAGTGCAGTGGGCTGCCCAGTGGGCTGCAAGCCCCAAAATGTCAACCAAGACGAAAGCCTCACATATAGGCTGCTGGGAGGCGTCCTCGCTGAGGTTAGAGGCCATCCTCAGGAACAGCTTCCAGTTCAGAGACTTGCACACGATAATAACCACAGGCCCGGCTGGTGTGGCTCGGTGGTTGAGCATCGACCCAGGAGCCAGGAGGTCACAGTTCGATTCCCGATCAGGGCACATTCCTGGGTTGTGGGCTTGATCCCCACTGGGGGGCGTGGAGGAGGCAGACAATCAATGATTCTCTCTCATCATAGATGTTTCAATCTCTCTCTCCCTCTCCCTTCCTCTCTGAAATCAATAAAAATAAATTTATGTTTAAAAAAAGAAACTAACCACAGCTCTCATGTAGGGAGTGCCAGGTTCTGCTCTAAGTGCTTTACATATTGCATCATTATTTACATAAAGAAGTTGTTATAAAGGGCTGGGAACAGTAGCTGGTTCCTTGTGAGGACCACATATGTATAAGCTATTTTTTTATATATATATTCTTAACTCACATAATCCTTAGAACCACCCTATGAGGTAAGTTGTATTGGTAGCTCCATTATACATATGGGGAAACTGAGGCATGGGGAAGTCCCTTGCCCAAGGTCCCAGAGCCAGGATCCAAACACTGGGATTCTGGCTATAGAATTCATGCCTTTGACCACTTTGCTAGCCTCTCTGAGATGGCATGAGAAGCAGCCCACAGGGGACAGGGCATTAAGCACAGGCTCCTGGGATGTCCAGCTGGATGCATTCTTAAAGTCCAGATGGAGGAGGCAAGGGAGGTGGCACTGGCCCCATGCCTGCCGTGAGCACATGGACTTGCTCTGGGTCATCACCTTGGTTCCGCGTGGGAGAGGCTGGGATGACGTGTCTCTTGGCAGCGGTGGCTTTTTTCCATCCTCTGTCTCCAGCTTCTATGCAGGAGGGCAGAGTTGACCAGGAGGATAGGCTCCTGGACTCCCAGAGACAGGCCACTAGGCGACTTGGGCAATTCCAGGAAGCAGGGCAAAAACAGCAGCCCTAGACCCTGGTTTGGTGCCATCCACTCATTCATTCATTCTTGCTGCCTCTGCCCCAACCTCAGGCAAGGCCCCAGAGTGACCTGGCAGAGCTCATGGTCTCAGATGGACTCATCCCCAGCCCTGGTGATTATTCAAAAATAATTTGTTGTTCATGGTGGTAACAGACATTGAAGATGAACATTGCTATATCTGCTGAGCACCCACCATGTGCCAAGAGCTGTGCTGGGCAGGGCCCCCTGCCCTGAGGGGCATGTGTTGTGGGGGAGAGTGTGATGGGCTTTGGAGTTGCAAACGCTGGGCCGTTGGTCTACAGTACAGACAATTTAACTTCTCTCACCTCCAGATTGCTTACCTGTGATGTGGAAGTGATAGCCACATGAAGCTGTGCTGTGAGCTTTCAAGATCCTGCAGGTTGAGCACACAGCACAAAGCCTGGTGTGCTCATTTATTTAATAATGAGTTCCCCTGGGGCCAGGCCTATTCCAAGCTCCTGGGATCTAGCAGCTAAGGGCAGCCACAGCCCAGCCTCCATGGAACTTGTATTCGAGTTGGGGAATAGATGGCATACAGGCCCTGAGTGTCAGGAAACATGGTGGGGTGCTGGGGCCCGGTGGAAGGGTCCTGGGCTGGGAGCCAAATGTCTGCTCAATGTCCCTGGCAAGTCGAAACCCCTCCCGGGCCTCCGTTTCCCCAGTAGCATGATAAGAAGGCTGAGTCCCTGTCTCCAGGGGTTCTTCCAGCCTGGTTGTTCTGTGACTCTGTGTCCTCTGGGTCTGAGGTGAGTTCCTGGTGTGAGATGGGGTGGGGTGACTTGGGCAGTGATGAGGAAAAGGGCAGGGACAGCCTCAGCCAGGCATTCTCTCTCTCTCTCTCTCTCTCTCTCTCTCTCTCTCTCTCTCTCTCTCTTCCCCCCACATTCCAAACTGAAAAATGGGCTGCGTGTCCATCCATCTCACCTGAGGCTGCTCCATAGGCCAATGAACTGACCGGATTTGGAGCTGAGCTTGAACCTGGGGGAGGAGGGGTGGGGAAGGCGACCTTTGGGAAACCATGCGAAGCTTCTGCTAGAACTGTCCTTCTGGGACCAAGAGACCTGGCCTCAAAGTCCTGCATTACCAAGGCTTAGTCTCCTCAGGTGTCGGCTGGGGGAAACCGGCCCCGCCAAGCTCCCAGGGTGTCTGTGAGGAGCAGATGTGGCAACCAATTTTTGGAGAGAGAGGAAGGAAGAAGGAGAGAGAGCGAAACATTGATTGGTGTCCTCCCTCACACACCCAACCAGGGATTAAGCCCACAACCTGGGCATGTGCCCTGACAGGGAATCGAACTGGCAACCTTTCGGTGCATGGGATGATGCCCAATCAACTGAACCACACTGGCTAGGGCCTGGGTTGGAATTTAGATGAAGCCTGTCTGGTACTGAAGCCTGGGTTCTTTCCACGATACTTTTGGCACTGAATGAATGAGAGGTGATGTCCCCATTTTACAGATGGGAAAACTGGAGCTCAGAAATCACACATATAAGAAAAGTGACATCTAAGCCTCTACCAGAAAGACAGCAGCTGTTTGTATTGTTTCAGTGGCGGCAGGGGAGGCCGGGTCTCTGCAACTGGGAATCATTATGCCTAGAACGTTCTGGAAAGCTCAGAACCTGTTTCCTACAGGCACCCAATACCTAAGGGATGAATAAGCCCTGAGACTTGTTAGCGGCCCCAGTGTGGGCATGGCTGCTAGTGACAACCATGACAGCTGATCTTGTTTTGATAGGAAATTGTATTTGGAGTCAAAACAGGCCTAGGGGCGGAATGCCCTCCATGGCTGCTTTTTGGAGGCAAAGGCTGCCAGCTAAGACACTGGCTCTGTCTTTTGTAGCTGAGGGAACTGTCATACCATTCTCACCTTTCTGGGCCTCAGTTTCTTCTTCTGTGAAATGGGAGTAATGATACCTACCTGTCATGGCTACTGTGAGGATAAATGAGACGATGTATATGAGGCCCTCAGGTCCCAGGACAGGGTCTGGCACATGATGAGGACTCAGGAAATGGTAGTTGGTGCTTCATTACTGTCACGATTGCTACTATTTCTGTGTCCCCTCCTGCCTTACAGTGCGGAAACAGGAAATTATAAAAGTGACAGAGCAGCTGATTGAAGCCATAAGCAATGGAGATTTTGAGTCCTACACGTGAGTCGGCTGGGCCCATCCTGCATGTCCTGCCTGGATTGTTGTTTGGGGGGCTGATGGCTAACTTTGGGGTCTCGTCTCTGACCCTCAGTCACTCACCCTGCATGTGCTGTGAATCAGAATGAACTCGAGTTTCTGTTTTGCGTTCAGACTTTATGCTTTTATTAAGCTTTCTGTCCAAAATGCTTCTCTATACCTTAGTCCTGCTCCTCCTGCTCCTCATTCTCGTTCCCCAGGACTCTTTTGCTTCCCTGAGGAAAGAGGGGGTGATCTCCACTGCAGCACGGGCCTCCTCAGGAAATGCGCTGGGAAGGAGGAGAGGGAGGCAGGTCCTTCCTTAGTCTTGCCTTGTGGGCCTGGGTCTTCACCCTGGACCTTCTCAGACCTCTGACCTCAGCTGGGCAGGAGTGGGCAGGAATCCACAGGGTGTGTACCTCCAGTGAGCAAGGGTGAGCAAAAGAACCTCAAAACAGAACCTAAAACTCTCTAGGGGATAAGGCAGTGTGCAAAAATAACATTAAAGGAAACAGGTGGTATAACATGTTCTCTGCACACCTACCTGTCATGGCCAGCCCTCAGAGGGGCAGCTGTATGCAAAAGCTGAGCTGATGCGCCCCCTGGTGGTCACCCAGACACCCTTCCTGGTCTGGCCCAGAAGCCGGCCCTGAGCCTGTCTTCAGCTGCTCCAGGGAGAGCCAGGATTCCAGGCTGAGGCCTCAGCCTGTTGGCGAGGATTGTTAAGGCCTGGGCCCGGAGACCCCACATATGCTTTCAGGGGACAGAAACTGCCAACTAAGGCAGAATAACCTTTGCCTGTTGGGTTCAGTGAGGGGAGAACAACCTGATTAGGTTTGCTCCTTGGGCAGCCTGTTCTTGGTTTCCACTGTGCCCAGGAGCTGAAGTAGGTTTCCCAAAGGCCTGGCAGTCGCTGTGGGAGGGTTTCCACAGCGACGGGTGGCAAAGCCTCAGAAATCTATTGGTTATCTCTGGAGGAACAGGACCTTGGAAGGTGCAGGTGTTAGACTGAGGCCACAGGTACATGTGTGTGCACGGACTTGTTCATGCATGCAGGTTTGCGATTGTGTGCACAGGGGTGTGTGCACTGGGTGTTGCACAAAAGCATGGAAATGCGCTGTTAAATCAGTTTTGCAGCGGCCCTAAAAAGAGTTCAGTCAGCCATGGGAGAGCCAGAGAATGGCGCCGGGAGGACACAGCCAGGAAAGGGGGGGAAGAAAGGTGGCGCCTGTGGACCCCAAGTCTCTCAGTGCCATTTCTGGGGACTCCCCCACTCTGTGATGTCACTGTCACTTTCTCTGGCATCTGTAGTGTACTCTAGGTTTTGACCCTGTGCCATGCCCTTTGGTGCCTGTGGGGCCCTGAGTCTGGCCCTGAGTGCCCCTGGATAAGTCCCTTCATGTCATGAGCCGTGGTTTCTCTACATGTACAATGAGGCTGAAACAGATGGTCTCCTTCAGAGGCAGGGATGCCCAGAGACCTCCTGGAGAGGGGCTTCCCCAGTGGTGCTCAGTCTCCCCGATGTTTACAGCTCAGACTCCCATGTGGTCTGAGCACAGCCCCCGGCCCCTGGTTAATCCACCTGAAGAATCTGAGGTTCTGAGTGGAAAAGCCAGTTGCCTGGGGTCACAGCGACGAGCAGTCAGGGCAGCCAGGGACAGAGTGCCCTGCACTTGCTAGAAAATGCTGGGCCTGACCCCCTTCTCCAGTTGTCTTCAGTCCCGCCTGCCCCCCGCCCCCCATTGGGACCTCTGCTTTTCCTGGGGTACTTTCTGTCCCTGGCTTCACTGTCATTGCCACAGGAGTCCATGTTGTGCCGCAGAGACCTGGGGGTGGGAGAGACCATTACCCCCACCCCCCACCTCCCAGCTGTCAGGGTCTAGAAAACTGAGAATAGGCAGGGACCATTGCCCTGAAAATACACAGTAAGGGCCTCCCTGGCCACGGCCCGGTGCCCTCCTCCCAGGCATTGCTTTGCGGAATGCTTTCAGCAGGACACCTCTGTTTAAAGTAGCAAAACGCACCCCCTCCAGGGACAGACCTGCTTGGTGAGCGCAAGCCACTTTAATGTGAGTGGAAAGGTCCCCTTCCCAGGAACCCAGGACAAAGTAGGAACTCCCCACCCTGTGGATCTGCTGCCTGGGGTGCAATTTGGAGAGTAGCCTCCAGGCTGGGCTGTGCAGGGCACAGCTCTGCACGCATTCATGGGGCTCTTGCTTGGAGAGGTTAAGCTGCCTGCTGGAAAAATGGCAGAGCCAGGACCTAAACCCAGGCTGCCCAGTTCTAAATGGCACCAGCCAGTCAGCGATGCTCCACACTGCACAGTTCACAAGCCCCTTCCCCATCCATCAGCCTCATTGATCTTGTGAGGCAGGTGCAATTACTCCAATTTGACTCACCCTCTGTGGGTCCAGGCCCCTGGATGAGAGGGTGGCTCTGGGAGGCCGCCCCAGCCCCTCTTTCCTCTGACTTCCTCCCCCCAGGAAGATGTGTGACCCCGGGATGACAGCCTTCGAACCCGAGGCCCTGGGGAACCTGGTCGAGGGCCTGGACTTCCATCGATTCTATTTTGAAAACCGTGAGCAATTCCTTCTGTCTGGGGTGCCTGTTGTCTGCTCTCGTTCCGTGTCCTGCCGGATGGCACAGCAGGGTGACGGGCAGGGCCCCCGGGGCGGCTCAGGAGCCAGCGAAGAGGAAGATCCCGTGTGGACAGGGGTGGGTACCACCTTGGTTCCCTCTCCTAACCTGGTCCACCCAACTGCCAGCTGCCCCTCCTGTGGCTGAGGATGGGGATCTGGGAAAAGCATGGCAAGCCCTCCCAGCCCTCTCCTGCCCGCGACCCTTCCCATGAGGGCACACATCCAACTGATAGTCATCTTGACACCTGGGACCACCCCAGCTGCCCACCTGGTCACAAGCTGGCTTGTGGGTTGTTATGCAGGTGCCCCCTCTGGGTGGGGAAGAGGAGAGGCCCCGAGCTCACACTGCTGTGCCCTGCCTGTTTGTCTGGGTTTCTGTCCGCATGTCTGTCCTCTCTGGGCCTCTCTCCTGCAGGAGAGACCCGGCAGCTTTGCAACCAGGGGCTGTCGGGCTGAGGCTGGGCCTGACCCAGGGTGCTTTCTGCCTGTGTCCGTGTCTCACCTTGGCCAGGGGTCAGACAGGGATGAACCAAAGCACATGCAGGTTAGGATCACGCAGCTCGGGGCTTGGAGGAAGGCCTTGGAGGTGACATGTCCAGGGTCTTCCAAAGGGAAGGCAGGTACCACCGAGGCTTCACCAGATGATTTCCGGGGCACGTGGGCACCTCTCCAAGCCACATTGGTCCTCACAGTGAGAAAGTTGGTCCCATTCTAAATTCTCCTTCAGTACATCTGGCTCCATCAAGGGGAAAGGCTCAGTTGGGTGCTAGTCTGTCTGGAACGCCCCGTAACACTTTCTAATTTCCCTCTTCATCAAAGAGAATCAAAGAGGGTGGCTCAGATCTCTTGCAGGCAGGAGTGCGGAGCTAGGATTACAGCGCTTCATTTCATTTCCGCTGGATTTATTAAAATTGTGTTCTGTGATACTGTTGTCACGAATGGCTGCGCTAGAAGGTTTTCTTTTAAAATATCCATTACTAAAGGGAACTGATTTAAGGAAATACTTTAATGAAGTATAGGTGGCAGTTGTAGGTTAAAATAAAGGAGGTATTTAAGTGGCTGAAGTAGGATCTAGTCCAGCTCTTCATCACACAGAAGGGAAAACTGAGGCTCAGAGAGGGGAAGTGACGTGTCCGAAGGAACCCAGAAAGTCAGTGGCAGACCCCAGTCCTGACTCACTTTCCCTTCCCTTCCCTTTCCTTCCCTTCCCTTCCACGTGCTGCCCCTCTCCCCTGTGCACCAGCGGCCATCAGCTGGACACTGCTGCCTGCACCCACTCCGACTGAGTCTTACAGGGTACAGGGGCTCAAGAGCACCCCAGAAAGCTGTGACGAAAAGCTGCATTTTCCGTGATCAGTCAAACTCTGATTCTTTAAGGCTAGCAATGGCAGTTTAATTTTCATGTGAAGAGAGGTGTCTGGACCCCTCCTCTCCCCTCCAATTGATCCCCATCACCCTAGAGCTCCGTGGCTGGTCACCGAGGCCATCTTTCTACTGGTGTGTCCTCTGGGGGTGCTGGTTCCCCAGTGTGTACTACAGCCTTCACAGAGCAGAGACCAGGCTGAGCTGACTCTAAGGGCTTGGGGAGCCAAAGGGAAAGAACACAGAGAGAAGCTCCTGCTAGCCCTTGGCCTGTGGCATCGCCCCAGCCCCCTAAACTCTAAGCTTGACCATCTGGTCACGTCACAGGACCCATGAGAGCAAGACCCAGAGTATCTGCCTGCTTCTGGCCGAGTCCCACTCTACTCCCTGCCTTTTCCTGCTGGAGGCCCCGGCGGCTTTCTCCCATGCTCCCCACCATGGCGGATGTTGAAAGCCTCCAGTCTATTCAAGAGATACCACATCAGGGTGGTTGCTGCTTCAGAAAGATCCCTCAGGACCCCCGCCCTTGTCACCAACAGCAAGGCCCAGTGCCCGCAGCAATGCGAAGCCCTGTCTGTCCCTCTGGGATTGTTCTAGATTGCTCTAATTCAGTCCCACAGAGACACGGACCTTTTTTAGGTTCTACTGCTTTTCTTTCAAAACCTGGCCCAGCTTAGAACAAGTCAGGTTGCTTCTCTGGACCTCAGTTTCCAGATCTGTGCAATGGACGCAGCCCATCTTGACTGCCTTCAGCTCTGGATGCTGTCAAGGGTGCTTATGGAGGCTTCCTTGCATTTGGAGGAGGGCCACTGGTGACCTCTGACCTCTGAAGCCACTCCCAAGCCTACAACACAAAAGCTCTCTACGAGCCCAGTACATTCTCTCTACGAGCCCAGAATTGTAAAACTACATTAGTCTACATACCTAAGACTCAGTGATTTTGAGTCCTTTATCCAAAGCCTGGGTAGGAGGTGATTATAATATCAGGGGTGGATACTATTGGAGGCTTTCTACAGTCATGGGGGAAAGAAAGACATTTTAGATTTTTCAGGAAATCAGTGACTCACAAACCTGGCTGGGCATCAGAATCAGTGCGGGTGGGGAAGGGGACAGGGGCTTCTTAATACTACAGGTTCTTGAACTGGCATCTCCAAGGGTGGATGTGTGCTTTCTGTGGGGTTTGGGCCTACCTTTGGGCTATACGAAGGGAAAGCTAAGGGTTATTCCTGAGACCCTGTCCAGTCCCTCCCCGGGTCATCATCATCTTTCTGTGCTTTTGTTTTCAATCTTGCTGGAAAAAAAATAAGAATTCCTAGAATCAAATAAGTAATAATAATAATAGTAGCTAATACTTTCCATAGAGAAAGATGTTTCAGATCTTTCAAATGATGCATTTGTCAGTCCTATGATTGTAGGAGCTATGCATTTCTCTCTAACTCTGGAAAGCTACGCGATCTCACCCTATGAACCGGAAATACCATCCTTACAACCCCAAGAGTCTAAGGTTCTACAATCTGAATATTCCCCAAGTTTCCTTCATTCTACATGTTGAGAGCAGTGGTGTCCAATGAGGGGCCCACAAGCCATACCTGGACTGCACACATGTTTTATATGGCCTGCATGATGTTTTAAACTTGAATTAGATGCCAATAATTAAAAAGGAGACATTTCCACATAAAAATCCAGATTTCCTGATTCTCTTGAAAAGTCAGAAATTGTGGCACCAGGGGTCCCAGTTATTCACATAGCAACCGCTAGGGGAGCTGTGTACAGGGCGCCCCCTGTGGATGGAATGTGGTCAGCCATTCACCAGTGTCCACCACTCGCTATTGTCTCCCTCACCCAGAGGCAAGTGGTCAGTTGTCATTTAGCATTTTGTACCCAGCTCAGCCCCTCACTTATGTACTTGCCTGGCCTCTGTAGGGATCTGGGTTTGAGACTCTGGTCTCAACTGATTTGATTCTATAATCATCTAAGTTCTCTTTTTCTGTGTCTGAGACACTATGATTCTAAAATTCCATTTCCCTGTGCGTGAAGACGTCAAGGTGTCTGAAATCCATCATCCCTAAGCGGGGATGTGACCTACTCACCTAGGAATTCTGCCTCGACACCCAGGTGGCTGAGCCCTGTCACGGAGATGAGGCAGACAGAGGGGCTCCCCTGGGAATGTGCTGGGAGTTGGGGGAGTGAAGGACACGAGGCAGAAGTCCCTCAGTTGCATCTGCTCTGCTCACTCCCGTCCCTGCCTGCAGTGTGGTCCCGGAACAGCAAGCCTGTGCACACCACCATTTTGAACCCCCACATCCATCTGATGGGCGACGAGTCAGCCTGCATTGCCTACATCCGTATCACTCAGTACCTGGACGCCGGCGGCATCCCCCGCACGGCCCAATCAGAGGAGACCCGCGTCTGGCACCGCCGGGATGGCAAATGGCAGATTGTCCACTTCCACAGATCGGGGGCGCCCTCTGTCCTGCCCCAGTAAGAGCCCCACCTTCCTGCCTTGTCATTAGGACCATCTAAAGGGAGGCCACGGGATGGGGGTGGGTGGACCGCGGGAGGAGACCAGGCCTGCAGGTCCCAGGGGAAGAGCTGGCGGGTCCCTGAGGTGGTAGCTACCTCCACCTGAGGAGGCAGGCCAGGGCGGGTGCCGGAGGAGAATGGGGCACCTCGGATGCACCTGCATGACCCACGGCATTGTTGTGTCTTACAGTTGAAGGGCCAGGCGGGGCGCTGTACTGCAGATATCTGCTCGTCATTCGTCCGTCCGTGGAATGTCGCTGCTGGTTCTCCCACCTTGGATTTTGCTGGAATCCCCCCACTCACATCATCCCACCACCACCACCACCACCACCACCACCGTCACTTTCATACCTGCATCAAGAAAACCTACCCACAAAGCCATTGCGTCTTCAGAGCAAATGGCCACCTCTCCCTGCCACCTGTCAATCTCAGTCTCTGCCCCCTCTTCCAGGATTCCTCTGGGAAAGGCAGATGAACCCACCACCCCTGCCCCCCCCTGCCCCGTGGGAGAGAGTGAGGGAGGAGCTGATGCCAGGAGTCTCTGGCTGCAGACTGCCTCCCTAACTCACCTCCCGTCTCCTCCCGGCCTCCAGGGCCCCCGCCTGACACTTCCCCCTCAGTGTGGGGAGCGCGATCCTCTCAGGGTGCCCCCACTCTCTCCTTCCTTCTCTGATGTTTACCTCCATCGCTCACCACCCATTCCACCCTCCATCGGGCCGGGGGATTCCAGCCCCATCATAGCTGAGGGAGAAAACCTGATTGCTTCTTGGGGGCAAAAGAAAGCAACATCTAGGTTATCACTTCTACTTGGACCGCATGCCTTTTTATAGCCAAACTCCCGTGTGTTTCGTAAATGGATCTCACGTTCACTGATATTTATGTAATAACTAGACCTCTCCATTATTGTAAGAGGGTTGGGTTGGGTTGGGTTGGGTTGGGAAGGGAGGTGGGAAGAGGACAGAGGGGTAGCTTTTTTCCTGTTTGTTTATATTTTTATTTTTCAATGTCACCTCTGAGATGGACTTTGTCACCAGTGGTTCCCCAGGTTTTGGTCCCAAGGTTCTTTTCAGGATGGAATCAGATGTCAGTGCTGATAAGACACGGTGAATGGGGGCCGAGAGCCTGGGGGAGGTTTTCAGGATGGAAATAGCTGGACTTTTCTTTGCTTGCCTCCCAAACGGGAATCCTCACGACCACGATTCCCAGGCTTTCATCCCAGCTCATCTGTGTGCCACCCCCAGCGTCCTCGCCCGTCTCTGGCGGAGGACCCTGAGCACATGTCTACATCACCCACCCCCTCGGTATCTGCTGGTCCACGCAGGGCACCAGAATGTCTACTCTCCACGCCTCGTCCTGCAGCCGCGGGTTCGCATCGCTCCCTCCTTTTTTCTTTTCCTTGCTCTTGCCCTCTTCCCTGGGACTGACTCTGATGTGGAAGGCCTTGGCACACCCACTAGGATCTACTGTCTGCACTATTTTCTTTGCATGACTTTATATGCAGTAAGTATGTTGAAAAAAAAACAGAAAAGAAGAAAAAATCACAGCAAAACCAATCTACATGTTTTGGACAAAAAAAAAAAAATAGAGGTTGTATTCTCAGTGTCCGACTCGGAAATATGTTGCTGCCTCTCTGTGCTTCTGGCCTCTGTGTGGCCGTGTTTTGCCAGCATGAGATATCGTCCCCTCTGGAGGATTTAGGGGAGAAAGAGCCGCATCCCCAAGGCTTGGAGGAGGCACTGATTCCCCCAAACCTGCCGGGAGTCCTGGGTGGTGGGTGGAGCAGGACTGATGGGGGGA